TATCATCCCCCGTCCGTTGGTTGGGCGAAGCAAAAGCATCTAAATCTCTAACGGTTTGCAAAGTCCAGTGGATTATTTACTCAATTTGTTGGACTCGAACTGGACTTGAGTGCTTTTCTATAGTCCATGGACTGGTCTGAACTTAAAAAACTGTTTTTTATGGACTCGAACTGGACTGGAAACAGTCGATGTATCTGTGGTATAAATTTGAGATCTGGGATAGTGATGTGGATAAAATATCGGAAAAATAAGGTGGGCCGTTTATTTCGACCAGGGAAAGACACAGTGGCGCTCAAAATTGATTCCCACGCAAAAAAATAAAATTGTATGATTAGGCATTTTGTATTTCCTCTTTTTGATTGAGAAAACGCATGTTAACAATGTTTTCACTGCATAGCAAGTGAAACTTCGTTAAAAGATTTCTAAAATGCGTCTTCTCATTCAAAAAGAGGAAATACAAAATGTTTAATCATACAATTTTCATTTTTTGTGTGGGGTGTACAATCAATTTTGAGCAAAATGAAAGGACATCGTTGTTAGTACAGTGTTAGTGTTTGATCTAGCGCAGCAAGTATATGACGCAGAGAGGTGATATTTTACCGGATAAACTATGAAAACGGGACTACATTTTGGCCAAAATCTCAACTCTATATGCTGAAAGCATCTTGGGATATTAGAGAAACAGGGTCATTTGTCAGGTGTACGATCAATTTTGAGCGCCACTGTATATATAATCTCGTTGACTTCAGTGGAGCGCATATCTACAATGCTTCATTTAAGGAACATATTGAAATCCAAATTGTTCCGTATGGGTGTCGGTTGTTTGGCGATCGCATTTCTTGCAAGCCTGGTCGCAGTCGGCATTTTGAAATCGTTGCCAAACATTCGAAAATCAATCAACACGACCGAAAAGACAGAAGGTTAACTTAGAGCTTTCACTTGACCGCCATCACCCATCTCAGATATGTTTAGATATTCAAGCAACTGTCTTCAAAGCCGTGTTCAGTACAACTTATACTCTGGACAACGACAGTCAGTCGTGGGACATAAAAAATATCGATGACATCACCAATCAGGTATGACATTTAGCGAACAGTTTATTTGCATTGTTCTTCTGTTTTCTTGTAGCTGAACGTAAAATTGAGTAAGAGTAAGATTCGCGTTAACAATGCGTTTTTTCGTAATGATTTAGGATCGGACAGGTACGGCCAGTAAACACCCTCTAAAGCTGTTTTCTTGCCTACGTTTCGATTTCGATTAAGGATAACATGTGAAAATCCATTGTCCGGAAATATTCTTCAATTGGATCTTGTTACTTCGCACTCACGTCAATGTGTTGATCAAACAGAATATGCGTGCAAGATTCAGCTTCAGCAACAATTAAAAAATATGTTTAGTCGAATATCGATAATTCCTGTCACGATTCAATTTGATGACAATCGTTTCAAGAGTATCGATATCAAAATATGTAGCCTCACAGAAATGACTGGTAAGGTAAAAAGCAACACTTCAGAAGAATTGCATTATCATTTATTAAGGAGACGGAGAAACAGCAGCACGAGCGAGAAAAGCGAAAAAAGCAGCGGCATCAATCGCAATGGTACCAAAAATGTCGAGAAACTGTAAGTTACCTTTTACCTGTGACCCGGTGACAGACACGCGACAGTCTGTATATAGATTTTGTCACAGATTTCAGAACTTGTTCGGATGTGTGATCAAAGCTTTTAACTCGTTGTTACGATTTTCGTAACACAAGTATATTTTAATTTTGCCAATAAAACTTGCTGAATCTCACTATGATTCAACTAATCGCATGGCTAAAAGCAAGCCAAATTTCCTGCTAATACGAACCATTAAATGAATATTCGTATTCGAAAGTTCAACTACTACCATTACACCGTTGTTAATCCTTCGCTTCCCTTCACAGATGCCCTCGTTTAGTTTCTATGTGTCTTCTATATGTCTTCAAGCAACTGTTGTATATATGGTTTAGGATTTTTCGGCTAAAATTATGTTTTCACCGGTTCTCTTCTATCCTTCTCACAGCTAAAATGATTATTCTTTTTCACTGATTCTGCCATGTAAAACTCCAAACCACTTCGTAGCTTCCACATAATTCTGTGCATAATTTCTGTGTATTACAATCTTTTCTATTCTTGCACCTATGCTTGCGGAATGCTTCACATCATGTGTTGTAGACTTCGATCCTGATCTTCAGTAACGCAAATTCATAGCTGTACGGAGTTTTATCAAAAGTTTTTCATCATAGGATATGCATTTCGAAATTCGTCTTCACTGAATATTTTCAGTGATAGACACTTATGCCTTCCTTAATCGCATTCCTCCCCTGTGTCTTATTCTACTCCCTCTGAAGCTTCCTGGATTCGTCAGTAATTCAATAAGACTCCCATAACCTGACTTAGCAATCACTCGAATTCAAATTCGATTCGATCGTGTTCAATGGAGTTGACCTTGGCTTAGCACACGTAGTGTTTGTACGCTCCCCTTTGATTTCAGCCCGAATAGATCAATTCTTCTTGGAATCGTGCGGTTGTGCCCGTCTTTCCTCGAATACTTCAGTTCGAAAAGGAAGGCTAAACGCATTATTTTTCATATGCTTTCTTGATTTGGAATAACAGCCCAAATGAATAAAATCTACATCGGTGCGAAATATTAGAATGTGTAAGTAGCTTCAAATTAGTTCGACAGTGTTTTCACTGTAAAAAGTGTTACTGAACCGCATGATACGCCAAAAATTCGATAATTCATTTTGTACATTTTTATTAGTTCCGGTCGATATCGCCACCCCATATATGGTATTAAAGTCGCGATGTGCTCTGTGTATTAACAAAATCGGTCTTGTTCAAATGGCTGGAGAGTATGGATCACGTATTCAGGATGATACACGAACGAATGCCATTTTAAACGATGCTCGATATCTAACTGTTACAGTGTATGAAGAGACGATGTATCAATTACATGTCCAACTCGATTGCGGTGGACAACCGGGCGGAGATCCATCTGATAATCCCTGCAGCCGTTCTCTAAGTGTGAGCGTGTGGATTGATTTCGACAACAATGGATTGGATGATGCAGAAAGTCGAGCTCTCCGTCGCTCTTGGTCAAACAATGACATACCTAATGGTGCATATGATTTGGGAATACATATACCTAGTATTGATGGCAGGAATACGAAATCTGAAAATCATCGCATGCGCCTTACTGTGATGCCTACTGAAGAATATCAAAGAGACTGTGGCAATATCGGGTACAAAGAAACACGAGATTACACAGTCAACATTATTCCAAAGGCGAGATATGAAGGTAAATCTTTATCTGTTTACTGATTACACGTTTTGCATCATAATGGTACATGTCTGACCATCCGTATTGAAGAAAGTTTTCACCAACCATTGCGCTTATCTCGTCATTTCAGGAATAGACTTTATACTCGATTTGAGTTTCTTTATTTTTTGACATGTATTTTTTCGACCGAACTAGATGATATCAGATCCATGATTCCTTTTCTGATGTAGCTTCAAAAAACAGTTTTACGAGAGAACTTTTGCTCGAATCTGATATTTCATTATTGTCAATCAGCTCTGCAGCTATAAGAGAGACATTACTAGACACAAAGTGCATTTAGCTCTTTTATCATTAGAAGCGTCGTTAGTCTTATATCCAAACTGAAATATCGACGAAAAAAAGGCATAATGAATATTATGTATTGCAAAAGGCATACACATGTAATTTTTCTAGAATAAAAAAGCTCATTAGTTTCATAAAGCGCACAAATCTCTCTCTGTCTTAAGAGGCAGTGCACGATAGGGACGAACTAAGTTGCGCAATGATTTTCTGAAGAATGAATGAAGTTCGCAAATTTTTCTCAAATTTTCAGAGCGGATAGAGAAATGTGTCTTGAACATTTTTGTCTTTGACATTTCCTTTCAAAGCGCTTTCCCTCGACGCTGGAGCTCTTGCAAAATAGGTCGTAAAATACAGAAAAAAAGCGATTTTTCAGTCGAAAATTTTGCTTACGCTATAATTCCGTCAGATCAAATGCTAATGAGCTTAAATTTTTACCAGGGCTGTCTTAGTATGAGTACTATCCATGATAAAAACTCCAACTCTTCTGAGTTAAGCGTTCTCCAGAAATAGTTTATTCGTTAGACATAGATAAAACGTCATCGGCCGTTTTGCAAAGCGGTTTTTGCAGCGAACATGGTCCGTTTGAAGGGCTCTCTACGGTCTCGTGAAGTAGACCCAAAGTACTACCATGGATCATCGTCAAATTTTTGGGGAAATGATGGAAAACACTCGAGGGTTTCTTGTCAAATACGGTCAGCGTACTCTCGGAAAAACATGAAAATTTTTCTCTTAAAAACTAGTGAATTATACGCCATTCGACGCAGAATTTCATTCTACATCTAAACATGTATCAACAAAGATTCGGCAGTGCATAGAAAAGGAGAAAAAACCCAACAACTTCCGATTTTCCAAGGTTTTTCGGAAAACATATTTCGAAAATTATCGTGAAATTCAGTTCACCTAAACAACTTTTTTGGTTTAATAGTTTAATGCAGAATTCAATTTTCTACCGATCGAAACCGCGGATTTTTAACATTAAACCTCGATTTTTCAGAGATGGTTTTTCGAAGCCCCTGATATTTAGCCTCTGAAAACCTTTTCGGAAAACAAAGAGAGATGGACCAGAAAGAGAATTTTACGCGGATTCCAAATATCACTTTATTCTTGAATGATGATCTTTGCTTCACTCGATAGTCGCAACTTTTATAATTATATAATTTTAAAAGATGGTAGAAAAGGATTTGACCGCCACGGACGAAAAAATTCTTTAGGTGAACT